AGTAACGTTTTGCTGAATGTAGTGCAAATACGAGAAAGCCGGCAATAACAATAGTATTAGCCCGCTTATTTGAGAGGTAAGATTATATTTAGTCATGAAGTTCATAGCATGAGCATAAGTAAAATAATCAGAATACCGCCTCACTCTATGACACTTTTCAAGCGTTGCTTTTCGGATAATGCTGCCATACTTTAAAATACTTTACCGGGTAAATACAAGGTAATGTCTCCTGCCAATTTCCGTAGACAAATAAAACAATTTGTATTTACCCTTACCTGATCTTGGTGCAGTATCTTTTCTTATGTATATATGTATCTAAATATTATGTATGTGTGTATGGGTGTATATATGTATATGTGTGTATATATGTATATGTGTGTATGTATATGTATATGTGTGTTTGTATATGTATGTAAGTGTATATATATATATATATAAATGTGTGTGTATATATATATATATATATATATACATATATGTGTATATATGTATCCATGCACATACTGTATATGGTTGTGTATTTTAGTTTATAGCATAGTTTAGTTATAACTATAATTTTTTTTATAACATCTTAGGCAACGCACATTACATCGTGCTCTAAATGTACTGACAAAGATAGAAGTGTAAGAGTAGCCTAGGTTAAACTTCGCTATCTTTGTCCCTCACCTGTACAACAAAGAAAGGCGTTATTATTCCCACAAAATAGAAATGAGCAGAGTACAATACTATAAAAAACTATAAGCTCGTTTACTAAAGGAAAACGAATAAGTAGCGTAAAATGCATAAAATAAAAACAAAAAGTTCAGTGTTCCACCTATCATAATACACTACACATAAGCTAATGACGGTCATAGCATTAACCATATTTTCTGGAAAAGTATTGAATATGCTACTGGGGAGAAACAACTGCCGGACTGTCGGTCTAAACGGCTCCTTTTGCAGTTTAAAGCGAATATTGCTGCGTGACAGTTGGTATAGGTGCATCAGCTTGGTACGAATCAAGTCATGAAGTATTCTAAAAGTAACTCGAATTCCTCGAGGCGATCTTCATAGCTGGATCTACGACCTCTAAAGGGGATTCGAGTTGCCCGACTCTGCACCGCCTCAAGGAGATTTCTGCCACGCACAGTTCTCCATACAGACAAAATTCGAGAATTGACGTTACATAAAATGTCTTGTAAATGAAGTCGTAGGTGTTGACGTCGGATCCCTTGAAAGACCTCTGCAGTATGCGTAGAAGCTTCTTGGATTTGGTGGTTACGTGGTTTATATGCTCTGACCAGGATAAATGATCGTTAACTACAACGCCAAGATCAGTATGACTAGAAACTACTTCGATGGTGCGATCATAGATCTTGTATAAGAGCCGCCGATTGGTTTTCCCAAGATGTAAGTCACAACACTTTGATAGGTTCAAGGGTAGAAGCCATCTGTCTGATCATTGACGAATAATGTCAAGGTGCGGTGATAGGCGAAAAATTTGGTGATCTTCACCTACCATTGGGTTGCCAAGCTTACCAGTGGTAAGTGAAGATAGTCATACTTTTCGCCTACTTCCGCATAATATTTTTCAATTGTTTGTTTGCGCTCCGTTCATCTGCCTAAACAACTATAAGACCCATACCACACTGATGGCTAATGGCTAATGAGAACGAAACAGCGATGTCTGCTGCTGATCATGGTTACAGTATATAATAATCTTACTTTTCAAGTATTTTCTTCGTTGCTGCTTATATAGTAATATTTTCTATCCATTTATCTTTATTGAATCATTGCCTTGACTTGGTGAATAATAAAATAATAATAAACGAATTTTATTTTGAGCGAAATTTAGCTACAACCTATTTCACCACTTATCCCTGAAAAACTAGCACTAGGAGATTGAAAACAATTTTAACAAAATACTTTTCCATAATTTAAATGAATGTTGAAAATTGTGTGTACAAGAAAAAGTATAAAGAACTTATATGATATACAGAAATATGAGCGAATATAGATTGTATATGTGTGCTAAGAGTTAATTCAGAATGACTGACCAAGCATTGACTTTAAAATGAGTATATTAACCACATTAACCAATTAACGCCTTTGCTCATGACATATGGATCTATTTAATTCAACAAGTTTAATGACGTAAGTCTTCCAGACATGGATCGGTTTATTTCCTTGTCTATTATATTTCTATTTTAAGTGCCAAAATGAAAGTAACCCATTCAAAATGGTCCCCATTTAAACCAACACTACCAAATTAGAAGCTTCATCTTCAGTGACGAATGCCATAACACATTTCACGTGTCGGAATATTCTCGTACATTGAAATATCACGAACAGATGCGCTGCTACCTAGACAGTGAAACGCAATTCTATACCTGAACATTAATCACTACACGTACAAGTAATGAGCAGGAAGCCAAACCTAAGCTCTATTAATAAAGCAATGTCTGTGTTTTATAGAGATCATAGTTTCAGCGAGTATACAATAAGAAGACCCAGTAATAATGAATTTATCCGAATTGATTTGTTTACATTTGTCTTAAGGTAATTGATCAAAATTTCTATGTCAGTGTATTAATACACTTCCAACCCCGGTAATTTTACGCACATAGATATTAGACATGTTCCACACATCATAGATTTCAACGTACATTTGCTCTTAAAACTTGGAAAATACTTTCGGCAGACGGATGGCTTAGCATGCGGTTGTAAATATTTTTGGTAGTGGATCCAAGCGACTTCTACGAGTAAAAGCAGGCAGCAGACGCGATATGCACATACGAGGTGAGCGCGATATTATCTATATATACGAGCATTATGCTTGGCGAAAAATTTATTGAAGTTACTTGATTTCGTGAGGTAATATTATTCAGTATAGTTTATAATTATGTTACCGCCAGAAAAAAAAAGTCAGGAATGGTTTTTATTTATTTATGCAATTCAAAGTGGTTTCAACCTACGTCCTTTCTCTTGCACAGATGTCTGCAAGAAAAAAGGTTGACTGATTAATTCCAAGTGCCATTACAGTTAGGGCTGCACAAACAAGTAGTACCGTAGATACAGCAGCTAATACCAACGAATAAGTTTAACTTAACCCATAAGCAATAAATTTAACTTTTTTATTTTTCACTTCCTATGCCAAAACAGGCGATGGATTAATTGCGAAAAAAAAAACAAAATTGAGATATTATGTTTTTTGGATGTTACAGGACATGTACTCGTACGTCACGAAAAAACATATCACTCATTTCCGTCGGTCTGTCTGTCGATCTGTCTGAATTTTATAACCACCTATAACGTGAAAAGTACAGCTCCGATTTTGATGAAATTTTCATACAAGGTTACTAGTATGCCAAGGATGAAAAAGATTTGTAGTTTTCGAAAATCGGTTTAGTGGTGGCGAACAAAAAGAGCATAAACGAAAAAATAAAAATCGCTCAAACTTCGTTTTTTGCGTAGTTTTACATATATAATGTTGTCATAACATACAGGGTGACTTTGAAGTTGAGTCATTAATTTTCAGATAATGATTGTAGAAGGAAGATAAACCAAAATATGTGTGTAAAAATAAAAAAAAAATAAAAAAAAATTTTTACCTTGTTTTATAAAGTATCCTCCCGACAAGTATTTCAGTGCGGACCTGTATTTGATCGTGAGGTCCCCTGTGAGGTCTTAAGTCACCTGATTCACAAGCCCGTTGTACTACATTAACAAAGGCACGAGGGGTTGGTTGCACTCGATTGGGAAACCGATCCGCATAAACATGTGCCATTTTTTATTTCGTTTGAGCCACGCAACACATACCACCATTCACTGACACTAACTGTATACAAATGAATGAGATACCTGTAAAAACATCGTTCCAAATTCTTTCGCTTTTTTGTTTCCGATGCGATGAACCGATACGGCGAATTATATCCGTTGTCGCCAAACACGACCACATAATATTGTTATTGAGACAGGGCGGTACTCAAACTTCCAAAGGGCTATAACTTTGTTACTTTAATTTTACCAGGAAAATGGTAAAGGAAAAAAACATTTCTTTTGATCAGATCTACTCACTGTTAAAATAAATGACTCAACTTCGAAGTCACCCTGTATAATGGAATTCCGGAGGCTTATAAAAATATTCTCTTCCCGTATTCCGTTAAACTTTTGTTAATTTTATCAACAGTTTCATCATGAATGTTACATAATTTGTATTTCCATAAATATCGTCGCAGCTCTGTATCTTTTTTAATAAGCATTGGTTTATGATTTTTCTATTATTTTAGAATATACCGCTTAACACATGTTGCGGACTGATTGGTTAAGTGTAAGAGTAGCACATGCTAAACTTCGCCAATCAGTCCGCTGTAGTTTTGTAATTCTGCTAATAAAGACGTCTATTATTATTATTATATTATACACATCATAAATTTACCCGTACCTTTAAAAATTAGAATGATATAGAATTCGTGGCTATCAACGCTAACAGCCTGACGAACCAGTCCGGCTTATGAATTCGTACTGAAGACCAAAAAACACACAGCTTGCACGATACCGATAGATAACTCGTTGCAGAGATGCCTCGCAGATGTGGAAAGGGACAACCTTGCCACATGGTCGGTAACTACCAGTAGCACAAGGATAAAATATCTACGTACTAATTGTATGGGCCTGTTTGACTGACTTATTACGTTCAGATTCGCTGTTCTACATGTCCGTAACTTAATATTTTCTCAAAGGATTGAATTTGCGCTGAACTTAATCCTGATGACGGTGTTGCACAGGAAGTGCAAAGTCGACCAGTTTTTTCTGTCATTATATTTAATATTCTATACCATTACTACTGGACTATATGAGTGTTATGATGTACATTATGTATTTCTATTAAATAGGTGCATATCTGCATTCTACATACTATCTATTATTGATTCATTGTGGCATATTATCTACAGGAAATAAAAAACTCATGTGATAACAGTAGATGTGGGGAACTCAAGTAGTAATAATTAGTAGTCATAGTTTTTGTGATCGAAAGGGTCGTCTAGAATGTGTGCAACAGTGGAAAAGAGTTTTATTAGGTTTCGTGTACTCTTACAATGCGCATGATATGAGAAAACAACTGTCATCGATCAGTGAAGGTAAATAATTATGTATTTGTTAATCGTAATCTCAGTAATTGCTGCTCCGAACTTGGAGGAGATGTAGAGTGGTAGTAACCAATGATATCACAAAAACTTTCTGGGTCCTTCAAAACATTTAGGTGCCAAATGTACACAAATTTCAATTTGAGACACCCAAAATGGTCAGGACCCTTTTTTGTCCTTCAATAAAAGGCTTACAAAATGTTGGTATTTTTCAATGAATCACGGAACTTGATGCCGGTCGTCCGTTTTAAATCAATCTGTCACGTTTGGGATGCCGACTGCTGCGGTGGATTCACGGAACACCAACAAAGGACAGAACGCAATCGCACAAATTAAATCTGTTTCACGTCTCATGGCCGTCTAGGACCCGTCCGGGACGTCGCTTTTTAATCCTCTTTCGGCTAATGTCCGTTTTTGTGGACGAACTGCCGCGCACCGGATTGTCCGGCAACTCTGCCGGATTATCCATCAGCGGTGGACGGTGAAAAGAACTCGCTTGTTTTGGGCTAGGTGACACGCGGAAAAAAGGCATCAAGTAGATCGACTCTGTCATCAGTTCATAAAGAGTAATGTTCAGCAAAAGTTAGACCCTCCTTGAAAAAAGTTATTTTCCACCATGTAACAGCAAAATTGATCGGACCAAGTCAGTCAAACACGACCATACAATTAGTCCATATTCCCCCGCCAGTGAACCTACGGATTAGGAGCATACACATGTTTCGAAAACCTATCATACTAAAAAATTGAGATATACCCTTCTCCACCAACCTCCAATTTTTAGGCCCTACAAACGTGTTTCTGAAAATGATCAGGATCCCGTGAAATGTTAAAAATCAAGGTTACAGGGTGTCCTAAAAGTTGGGACTTGCCTTTTCCGAAACAACTGTGTTTGAAATAATAAAGTTAATTTGAGGTAAAACAGCACCTAATACTCAAAAAAGAAATAGAGCAAAAATGCTCACTATTAATTTGGTACAGCATTTTGTTAATTTATTTACTAAACGTGCAACGTGTGGGGCTGTTTAGGTCTTCTTCTGTATCCACCCAGACGATGTTTTGCACAATATAAACAAACCTACGTTTCTCTGATGGAAATCTCGAGGATGACGTCGACTTCTGAATACTCGAATACACTCTCGGAGTATCAATAGGATCTTGAAGACAGTAAACTAACATCAAATCGTCAACTCACTGCACGGCGCTCGATTTGGATACTGACTCACATAGTCATAGTACCACCGTTAACGTAGGAGAGGAGTGAGACAGGGTCGGAATGGCTTGTTTAGGGTGTTTCGGAACTTGTGAATTCTTGGTCATATCTATTATAAATTACTGTAATATATATCTATGTTTAGACAGCTATACCAAAAACCTATCTCAAATCATCCAAAATAATTGTGTTCGTGTTATTTTTCTCCGCAAATTTGATCGGGTATCAGCACAATATCCAATACTCAATTTGTTGAAGATAAATGATTTGTTCAAGTATCACCAGTCATAATTTATTACTTGTGACTAAACTGCCTTACTTGGGAAAAAATTCATTTAACAATGATATTGTAGCGTTTTTCTGGGTTCTTTTGGGTGTGGATTAAAACACTGGATTCCGCAAAAAGAAATGCTTTCCTCTCCCGGCCTTCGACCTACATAGTCCGCATCGCTGATTCGAGAAGGTTCCGGCGAACCATAAAGCGGCAGTCTAGAATCTTCGAGGTCACTTCGCGTCGATCTAGAAGGCGAGTCACTGTCACGGTCCTCAACAGATGTCGCCACCGAAGGAGAGTATCTGGCACGGTCCCCAACAGAGATCGGCCATGAAGCTCTGGCGAGTAGGAGAGTCTGGCGCGGTCCCCAACAGATGGCGATAACAGTACTACTCATTCTTGTTACAATATTCATTCTACACCACTTAGAGGTAAAATGATCACAATACCTTAGTATTATTTATTAATTATCTACCAAAATTGTATAAACAATACTCATTACCAACTTTTTGACAAAAAATGAAATCATTACTTCCAATGACTTGATTACAAAATCATTTACTTTCCTATTTTTTTGCATTTCTACTTTTTGGTGTACTTTGCTTTGGAAAGTATGCCAGTTTTCGCTTTATTATAGTAATTTATTACTAAAAATTTAAATTTGTTATGAATAATATGTCGTTATTATTCACATCTATTTCTGACTTTTATGGATAAATGTGAAAGTATCAAACGCTAAGTTTCGCTATTCAAGTTTTACCTTAGCTACTTTCAAATAAAATAATGACGTCTATTCTTATTATTAATAATATCTCAGTTATCTTAAGGCTTTGGCAGATGTGTTATAAGGAAACCTTGCTTATTTTTGCCTGGCCTATTCGCTCTGAAAAGAAAATTCCCAAATTCGAGGATATCCTGTAAACTAAACTTTTCTGTTTTTTGTTACAAAAAGTGTAACCTTGAATGAAACAGTGACTTTGCCTCGAAACCTCGATTTAATGAAAACTAGCAGTTTTAGCATTCATAGGCGAACCCTTGCAGTTTTATATAAACCCTTGTCACTCCACCGAAATTGAAAAAATTACTTCAAATATAGATTTTGTCCATCTCTACTGATCCACTTGCTAGAGCTCACTGACGGATTCAGCGACAATCTCCCCGCTTCACTGTGTAATACTAGTGGTGATTTTGTCTTATCATGTCCGGTCAATAAATCAAAACATCGCCATCGACAGCACAGCGCTGGAATTGACCACGCTCCCTGTCGCTGCTGTCACTCGCATTGACGTGATTTATATTTTTCCGTCCCGCATTTTCCGTATTGATGGAGATTTTCCGAGATTTTCGGACATGTCACTGGGACAAGCTTTCACTCTCGATACAATGAATCAATCCTTGGGAAAGATTGGTCGATCGGAGAATACATTTCAATCGTGTCACTTGCGTAAAAGATTTGAGGTTTTTTGACTGGAAGACTGGTTGAGTTTTTTCCACAATTGCGTGACGTAAGCTTGTGGATCGATGGTGCCGGAAACTATAATGCCTGTCGTTAATCAAGCCATGGAGTTCGAGAAACGCACGACGCTCCCGATTTGACCTCTCCATCACCTTACTTAGAACAGAAAGCACAGCTATAGGCCTGTAGTTGTAAGAGTCGGTCTTTGATCCCTTTTTTAGGATGGGTTGGACGTGAGCAAATTTCCAGTTTTCTGGGAAGATGCCAGATTGGAAAGATGGTGGAAGGCTACTGTTTGAGAAGTTCCCCTCAATCTGCTTGGCCAGCGTCCAGAAAGGCCGAGTGTTACTGTAAAACGGTGTTTCTGAAAGTGGGCGAATACCCCCAAGGGGGCGATGAAGCGCTGAAGACCAAGGGGGGCGGTAAAGAACCTAAATGAACTTGGGGACATTGAATTGATTTGAGGGGCGATGCAATAGATAATCTTTGCTCACCGCTCTTCAATTCTCACAAAGAGACTCGCTCGGACGGACATCTTGAACAATTTCGTTGGGCGCAAAAAAATATTGACTTAAAAGTGGACAGTATACGAAATAAGTTTGCGAACTTCTGCTCTAGAATAATATAAGGACAGAGATCTATTGTAGCCCGCGCCTGGTCCGATTCAGCAATAAATATCCTCATAAACACGTATGAACAGTGTCAGCAGTTAGTTATCAAGCGAAACGGCGACAGGCGCGTCCTCTGTCGGCAATTTGGCCAAATTACGTCGCCGGCCACTCCATAATTCCTCATCTAAATGTTTATTATTAAGTTAAGCGTCCACAATTAATAAACGCCCGGTAGGTGAATTGTTGCACCGTTACTGCAGTTCGTTGCAGTTATAGCGCTGATGCACTGGATGCAATTCGGCCGATGCCTGGATGTAATTTTGACAAATTGCGTGGACGCGCCATCAGCTCGCTCCTCCCTGACGTTGTTCAGCGGAAAATGAGGTTCGTTCATGAAAAATGATTAGTTTTTTCAGACTATAAAATTTACACCTATGGCTCAAATTCGACCAATGAGGTGTTTTTGAAGTAATGAATCTAATGGAAACGGTCGATTACTTGAAAATTATCTCTAAAATTTTAGAGAGTGTGCGGGTTAGTGCCCTAATTAATATATTAAATCAATAAATACTTCATAAATCACCTAATTTAGTTACAAAAAACTATTTCTTCATTTGAGACACCAATCGGAAACAGGTTTCATATCTACCTTGTAAATAATATGACCAAATTAAAAACAAACGTAAGTACCAAAGAATTTTTTAAAAAGTGATATATAGGTTGTTAATCAGATGAAGATTTCAACAATTCATTGATAAATTTCCATTATCTCTTTATATTGAGAATAAATAGTAAAATTATCGATTTTTTGACATTATATAGGTTTTTTGTGACATGTTTCTACAAGATGTCAACTTACGACTGTTGTCTACTTCATGTACACTCGTTGTGCGGGCTAGTGCCCTAATTCCTATACTAAATCCAGAAATACTTCATAAATAACCTGACCAACCAAAAACTATTTCTTTATTTGAGCTACCAATCGGAAACAAGTTTCACATCTACCTTGTAAATAATATTACTAATTTAAAAAAAAACATAATTTTACCTGAGACTTTTTAAAAAAAGGAGGTTAATCAGGTGAAGATTTCAACAATTCATTGATAAACTTCCATTATAAACATAATTTTCTCTTTCTATTGAGAATAAATAGTACAATGTACCTTCTAGTGCCCTCTACTGGACGCTGCCTCGACTACGTACATACTTTTTATTTATATTTCATTTAAATTTCATAGACATTTATTTTGCGATGTCAAGTAGGAAATACAAATCAGCGCTTAGATGTGAGGCATTGCGAAAATGGTTTGTGTGTGATGCGTCATTCCTATTTTTCTGTGATGTGACTTAATTACACACAAGTTTTTAAAAACACAAAAAACATAAATTGTAATTTATAATGTTGATCATAACCTTTCTTCAGAAAGAACAACACAAATAGCC